GCACCTATAAGAGCTCACTTTGGAGAAGGTTCTAGAAGGGTGTTGCTGAGAGATGTTTCCTGCAGTGGGTCAGAGTCTGCACTGAGGGAGTGTAGATCACAGGATTTCAGATACACAGATTTTCTGCACATTTTTGATGCTGGAATTATATGTTCAGGTGAGTGACATGGTTCCTAATATGTTAATAGGTTTTTGTTGTGTAGTAAGCTTCTCTGGTTTTGGACTTGCTTTTAAATTTAATACTAAATATTTTAACCAAAACATTTATCCAGTGTCTATTGTTACTTAACAGATTCTCACATGTTAATACATTTTTGATGTTTACTAAGATTTCTGTCAGTGTCCATCGGTTCACTTACCAACTTTTAGAGCGTAACCATATGCATTTCACTATTGCAGATCATGTGAGGCTTGTGGGTGGAGCTGATCGCTGCTCTGGGAGGCTGGAGGTGAAGCTCCATCAGTCCTGGGCCACAGTGTGTGATGATAACTTTGACTGGCAAGATGCTGAGGTTGTCTGTAGGGAGCTGGACTGTGGGGCTCCTTCAGCTCTACACAAGGGGGCCCATTTTGGTGAAGGAGAAGGTCCCATCTGGTCCAAAGACTTCCATTGTGAAGGACATGAGTCCTTCCTCCATGAATGTCTCATGTCAGTTAGATCAGAACAAAACTGTACACATGGACATGCTGTGGGACTGACCTGTGCAGGTGATTTTTAAATATTTCATATTTGATACTTAGTTCTAAGAGTAGTGCACTTAGCTGACAATTTAACTTTTAGTAATTTAACAGAAAATGTATATAAAGCCAAAAGTACTTCAAATAAGTACATTTGTAACACTGCCAGCAATCTATAAAAGTACATAAGGTTAATAGGAGTCTGGTGTTCTAATCAGTATGTAGTTGTGATTTTACCTGGCCTATAATAAAAACATATACAAATACAGTATGTCCTAAGATCAAAAGAGGATTTGTTGATGTTCATATATCTTGTAAGGGTTACAATGAGATTTCTTAAGATGATCAGTCTTAGCTTAGAGTGTTTTGTCTATAATTGATGCTTTGCTTCTAACATCTTCTTTAGGACATGTTGATTTAAAAATGGTGGGTGGAGGCAGTCCCTGTGCTGGCATAGAGCAGATATATCGATGGGGCAAGTGGTGGACACCAGCAGCACCTACTGATCTGGATACTATTAAAAAACTGATTGCAGTAGTAGGTAGACAGCTGGGCTGTGGATCCTTGGATTTTTTCCAAACAAGTGAATATTCACCTAATTTTGATAATATATTACTAGGTGAAGATCTCTGTAATGGATCAGAAGCTAATTTAATGGAATGTAAAATGGATGTTTTTAGTGAAATCAAGTTCCTTCCCCTAGTCTTCCATGCAATAGTTTTCACAGGTACTGTAGGAGTAAACTCGTACAGCATGAGGTTCACCGTTCACATTCTGCTTTGTCTATCACATACAGTTTATTCATGTGTGTTTCCAGATAGATCCAGACTTTTCCTAATGATGAAAGGAGAAAAAGAGAACCTGTTTATAGATTACAGTTGTCACACCCTGCATTCCTGCCACCTTGTTCTTTTCCCAGTTATTAATTTGTCTTACCTCTCGTTTCAGCCCTCGTGTGACTTACTCCAGCTGCCCCTCGTCTGATCCCTTGTTAGTGGTGTATAAAGTGTCTCCCAGTCTTGTGCTCCCTAGTCTAGTCATTGATGTTACCCTAGTGTGTGCTCCAGCAGTTTCCCCTATTGCCAGTTTTGCCCCTTTGTTTGACCCCACGTGGTTTATGTTTGTTTGCCCTGTTCCCATTCCTTAAACTTATCGTTTTGCCCTCATGCCTGCTCTGAACTCCTCTGTGTTTGGAACGTGACAACAATGATCTTAATAAACCTTCAACTTGAATTTAAAATTGTGATTATTAAGGGTTGCTTGTACAGGTGTGTTAAATTAAGAGATATAATTGAAATCTATTTCACCTCAGGCCATCGAGGGATTCAGTTAATAGGAGGAAGTCACATGTGTTCTGGGAGAGTGGAGATTCAGCACGGAAAATCCTGGGGCTCAGTGTGTGACGCTGACTTTGACTGGCAGGACGCTGAGGTGGTCTGTAGATCACTAGGCTGTGGGGAACCTGCACAGCTGCTGGAGGGAGCTGCCTTTGGTCAGGGAGAGGGAGGGATGTGGTCTGAGGAGTTTCAGTGTCAGGGAAACGAGTCTCATCTTGTTTTTTGTCCCAAATTGATACATAACAAGACCTGCCGCCATGAGAATGATGTGGGCCTGGTGTGTTCTGGTAAGAGTATCATTGCGCTGAAACACCCTCACTGTGTTATTATGATCTGAGGGAAGTTTCAGGGTCTTATCTTTATTCTTTTCTCTCTTTCATTGTGCTGCTCCTAGGATACTCAAGGTTCAGGCTGAGGGATGGTCCTGACCACTGCTCTGGTAGAGTGGAGATGAGGTACAATGGAACATGGGGAACACTGTGTGATGCATCATGGGACATGAGAGCTGCCACTGTCCTGTGCCAACAGCTGGAATGTGGGAGCGCTGTGGCTGCCCTGGGACAGGCCTGGTTTGGGGGGGGCACTGGGCCCATCTGGCCCGATGTGTTTCATTGTCAGGGGAATGAGACTCGCCTCTCCCAGTGTGCTGTGTCCCCATGGAGACGAACAGCATATTCTCATGGAGAGGATGCGGGAGTCATCTGCTCTGGTGAGGAATGGCAAGTCAGTTATAGTCCAGGGAGACAGAGCAAATATCATCATAAATAGCAATTACACTACATATCCATAGTATGGAGGCTCTTCATCATTATTAGGGTCCTTTTTCATGTTTGAATTTTTTCACAGGTTCAACCCCTTCTTCCTCTGATGGGGGTGTCAGGCTGCAGTCTGGAGGGAGTGACTGTGAGGGCTGGGTGGAGGTTTACTACAACCAGACCTGGCAGAAGGTTCACCAAGAGTCCTGGAGTTCCATGGATGCATCTGTGGTCTGCAGACAGCTGGGCTGTGG